TTCCAAGCTGAAAATCTCATACTTCGTGTGCCACCAGGTAGAGTATGTAGAAGGCTTCACTTCACAAGTTTGAAAACATTAACCCTAGAATAGTCCTACCTGAGAAAACTTAAAAGTAACACACATACCGAACTGTCAAATTTTTTTACAAGTAATCTAACTGTATTTCACAATAAAGTTCACAAGTAATCTAACTGTATTTCACAATAAAGTTCACGAATATTTAGGGGAATACAAAATATTCAGCATCCAAAATGTCTGAAATTTAATAAAACATTGCCAGACATTCAAGAAGAGAGAAAAATATGACTCATGAGAGAAAAGATCAATTGAAGCCTACCTGGAAATGACACATATTACATAAATAGTGGAAAAAGACATGAAAACAGTTATATTCTCTATGTTCAAGAAGCTACCAGACTGAGAAGTATAGATAGAAAAAAAAAGTAAGTTTGAGACAATTTAAGTAGCCTAATATACGTGTAATTAAATCCCTAAAAGCTAAGAAAGATAGTGGAGAGAAAAAAATTTGCTGAGACAATGGCTAACATTTTTTCCATGTTTAATGAAAACTCCAAATTTTCAGATCCAAGAAGATCAGCAAATTTCAGGAACAAGAAAAATGAATAAACCACCACCAAAGCAATATAAGCATCAAATTACTTAAAACTAGTAAGAGAATATCTTAAAATTAAGCACCCAGAGAAAAAAATGCATTCAATGAAACAAAGAAGAAACCATAGTGGGCAGGGCACCCCAGGTGGTTCACACCTGTAATCCTAGCACTTTGGGAGGTCGAGGCAGGTGGATTACTTGGGGCCAGGAGTTGGAGACCGGTCTGGCCAACATGGAAAAACCTTGTCTCTAATAAAAATACAAAAATTAGCTGGGCATCATGGTGTCCGCCTGTAATTCCGGCTACTGGGGAGGCTGAGGCGATAATTGCTTGAACCTAGGAGGCTGGGATTGCATCAGTGTACTCCAGCCTGGGCAACAGAGTAAGATGGTCTCGAAAACAACAACAAAAGTGGTGAAATATCTTTGAAATACTGAAAGAAAAAATGTCTCAAATTTAAAAGTATTCTCGTCATATGTTTTCTGGTTATGATATAATTAAATTAGAAGTCAGGAGGTTATAGGAAATATTCCCAGAATATTTGTAAACTAACATGATCACAAAATCTAAAGGGTTGGGTTCTATTGGAGTCATAAAAGAGAAAAAAAAAAGAAATCTAAAGGGAAAATACAATGTATCAAACTGTGTGGGACAGGCATGGTGGTTCACACCTGTAATCCCAGCATTTTGGGAGGTGGAGGTGGGAGGCTCACTTGAACCCAGGAGTTTGAGACAAGCCTGGATAACACAGGGTGATCCCCATCTTTACAAAAACTTTGGCCAAGTGTGGAGGCTCCCACATGTAGTCCCAGCTACTTGGGAGGCTGAAGCAGGAGGATCGTCTGAGCCCAGGAGTTCAAGGCTGCAGTGAGCCGTGATCACACCACTGCACTGCAGCCTGGGTGACTGAAGGAAACCCTGTGTCTTAGAAAAAAATGCAGCTAATGTAACACTAAGATAAATTTGTAGTACTAAATGCCTGTTTAACAAAAAGATCTCTGAACTGAAGAATACTAGACGAGAACCCCAAGAAGTTTACACAGGTTTTAACACTTGAATTGATCGAGCAGAAGAAAGGATATCAGAGGTCAAAGACCAACTTAATGAAATGAAACAAGAAGACAAGATTAGAGGAGAAGAAGTAAAAAGGAATCAGCAAAGTCTCCAAGAAATATGGGACTATGTGAAAAGACCTAATTTACGTTTGATAGGTGTACCTGAATGTCATGAAGAGAATGAATCCAAGCTGGAAAATATTCTTCAGGATATTATTCAGGAAAACTTACCTAACCTAGTAAGACAGGACAATATTCAACTCCAGGTAATACAGAGAACACCACAAAGATATTCCTCAAGTAGAGCAACCCCAAGACACATAATTGTTAGATTCACCAGGGTTGAAATAAAGGAGAAAATTCTAAGGGCAGCTAGAGAGAAAGGTCAGGTTACCCATAAAAGCCTATCAGACTAACAGCAGATCTCTCAGCAGAAACCCTACAAGCTAGAAGAGAGTGGGGGTTAATATTCAATATCCTCAAAGAAAAGAATTTTCAACCCAGAATCTCATACTCAGCCAAACTAAGCTTTATAAATGAAGGAAAAATAAAATTTTTCACGAACAAGCAAGGACTCAGAGATTTCATCACCATCAGGCCTGCTTTACAAGAGCTACTGAAGGAAGCACTATACACAGAAAGGAACAACCAGTATCAGTCATGCCAAAAACTTACCAAAAGATAAAGAGTATCTCCATAATGAAGTATTTATATCAACTAATGGGCAAAATAGCCAGCCAGCATTAAATGACAATATTAAACTCACAGATATCAATATTAATCCTAAATTTAAATGGATTAAACGCCCCAATCAAATACACAGACAGGCAAACTGAATAAAAAGTCAAAACACGTCGGCACTCTGTATCCAGATCCATCTCATAAGCAAGGACACACAAAGACTCAAAAGGTTGGAGAAAGACTCACCAATCAAATGGAGAGGAAAGAAAAACAAAACAAAACAAACAGGAGTTTAACTTTCGTCTCTGACAAAATAGACTAAAATAGTAACCAAGACTAAAACAAAAAAGGACATTGCATAATGATAAAAAGATCAATGCAACAATAGAAGTCAATGATTATAAATATATATGTACCCAATATAGGAGCACCCAGATACATAAGACAAGTTTTCAATGACTTATAAAGAGACTTGGACTCCCACACTAATAGCGGGAGACTTTGACACCACATTGTTAATATTTGACGGATCAACGAGATAGAAAATTAACAGACATTTATAATTTGAACTCAGACCTGGAACAAGTAACCCCAGGTCCACAGAACATACATTTTTTTTTAGTATCACATTACACCTATTTTGAAAGTGACCACATAAATGGAAGCAAATCACTCTTCAGCACTTGCACAGCATTTCACAGATTTAAACGAAATATTGGTTGGCTGTTATTTTCTTTCCTTATTCATTCCTGTCTCAGCTGTTAAGCACAACTACCGGCCTAAAAGAGGTTTTTAATACCTATTTTTAGATTGCCTTCCAGCCTGTGCAATAGAGCAAGACTCCTGTTCTCTCTCCTTTTCTCTTTCTCTTTCTTTAAAAAAAAAAAAAAAAAAAAAAAAAAAATCTCAAATTAATGGCATCAGCTTTAATGAAAACAGAACAAGAACAAAAACACAATGTAAGAAGAATAAAGGAAATAATAAAGATCTGGCCAGTGGAATACAAAACAGAAAAACAAACAAAAAAATAAAACCAAAAGCTGGTTCTTTGAGAATATCAGTAAAATAAACTTCTAGCCAGATTATCAGGAAAAAGGACAATTTGCCAATATCAGAATGAGGTGATAGCACTACATATTCTACAGATACTAAGAAATAACAAAATATCATGAACAATGTCAATAAATTAATCCATAGGCAAATTATTTGAAAGGTACAAGCTAACAAGCTCAACCAAAAATAAATATAAAAATTGAATTTTCCTATATCTACAAAAGAAAATTGAATTCATAGTTAAAACTCCTTTTAAAAAAATATACCAGGCCCAGATAGCTTTACTGGCAAACACTTTAAGAAATAATATCAATTTTATGCACACTTGTCCAGATAATTGAAGATAAAGAGGTCGAATGCTTCCTAACTTACTCTACAAGGCCAGCCTTGCTCTGGGGCCAAAACCAGACAAAGACATTAAAGGAGAAATATAGGGACCAACATCCCTCACGAATATAGATGCAAACATTATTTAAGCAGTTGTAGCAAATCTAACCCAACAACACATAAACATGGAATACTTCATCACCAAGTAGGCTTTATCCCAGGAATATGTTACTTTTAGATTCAAAAGTTGATATAATTCACCTCTTAATAAACCTAAAAAGTCAAATCAGCACATAATCAATACATGGACAAAAAGCACTTGAAAAATTTAACATCCATTTCTAATTTAGAAAAAAAACCTTCATAAATAGGAATAAAAGGTAAAGTCCTCAATCTAATAAAGATCACCTACAAAACAACCTGCAGCTAACATCATACTTAATGGTGAAAGGCAAATGCTTTCTCCCTAAGATCATGAAGAAGTCAAGTATTTCTGCTCTTTCTACCTCTGACTTTGCACTGAAGGTTTCAGCCAGTAATTAAACAGAAGGCAAACAGATTGGAAAGGAAGAACTGTCATTATTCACAGACAACATGATCGTATATGTAGAAAATATATGAAATCTGAAAAAATAAGGTCAGCAAGGCTGTAGAATACAGATTAGTATACAAAAATTATATTGCTATACCTAGAAATAGTTAAAATATCAAAAATATGAAATGAATGATTAGGGAAAATTTTGCAAGAACTATATATACTGAAAACTAAATCACATTGCTGAAAGAAAAGAGCTAAATAAGTGGAGACATATTTGGAAGACTTAATTTTGTTAATATATCAATTCTACTCCAGATTCCCCTATAGATTTGACACAATCTCAACAGGCTTTTTTGGCAGTAAGGAACAAGCTACTTCTAAAATTTATCTAGAAATGAAAAAGACATAGAATGAAGGAATTTTGAAAAAGAACCAAGTTGGAAAAATTAATCTACCTGATTTCAAGCCTTATAGAGCTATGGTAATCAAGACAATGTGTTGCTATAAAAATAGACACAGATGCATGAAACAGAAAAATCCAGAAATAGATTTATGTATAGGTGGTCAGTTGTTTTTTGCCAAAGTTGTTAAGACAATTCAATGTGAAAAGGATGTTTTAAACAAAAATGGTGTTAGAACAGCTAGATAGCTATGGTAAAAACAATAAACTTTGGTCTTTACCACGCTGCCTACGCAAGCACATCTCAGAGACATTATGGGTTTGTTTCAGGATCACCACTGGTCATTAGAGAAATACAAATAAAACCATTATGAGATACTACTCCATGCCCACCGGAACGGCTAAAATTAAAGAGACTGAGCACAGCAAGTGCTGGGAGACTGCTGAGCAATTGGACCTCTCACACACTGGTAAGAATGCAAAATGTTAAGAACAATTTGGAAAGCAGTTCAAACTTTTCTTAATCATACACCTCCCATATGACTCAGCCATTCCACTCCTCAGTATTTAACCACGAAAACTGCAAATGTATGTCCCTACAAAATATTTGTTCAATCCTCACAGCAGCTTTTTTTGTAATAGCAAAAGTTGGAAACACCCTTAGTTACAATCAACAGGTGAAAAGATACAGTCATTCAATGGAATACTACTCCTCAATAAAAAGGAATGACGCATTGATGCCTGTAACACCACCAATATATCTCAAAATAATTGAGGTAAAAGAAGCCAGAGCAAAAAAAGTATACACACTATACTATTCTTCTTAGACAAAATTATTGAAAATGAAAACTAATCTATAGTGATAGAAGGCACATCAGTGGTTGCCTGGGGAGAGGGGATGGGTGGGAAGCAGAGATTATAATAGGGCATGAAATATCTTCTGGGGGTGGTGGAAATGTTTATTATCTTGATTGCGCTGATGGCTTCAGTGGTATTTACATATAATCAATTCTCATGAAATTGTATACTTTGTATATATATTATATCAAAGCTGTTAAAAATTTCTATAAAATCTGCTTTCCAGCTGTCATTGGAAATTTTGCAAATGATTCCTAGGTCATCCAACTGCTCATCTACACCAACAGGATGCTGTGTGGTCACAATCTTTCCTCCCTTGAAAGCCTGGGGCTTTGTCCCCTCTGGAGTCCTTCCCTACGCAAGTTTCCAAAGCATTAACTAACTTCCTGGAGCACGAGAGAAAGCTCTGTGCCGAGTACTACAAACCCACCAAGTTAATTAAAACCTACATTCACCATCCATCTGTTTTTTTGTTCCATGTATTTTTGACAACTCACCGTTGATTTTGGAAACTGCCCAGTCATTTTCTAAGTTTCCACTGGCGAGGGAAAATGTAAAGTGGGGACCCCGAAATGACGGCTGATCATCATCAGTAGCCTCGAAAATGAGACTTCCAGGTGCACTGAGGGGATGGCAGAAGAACAAGCCTGTGTACTCCTTGGCCAGCCTGGGAGGGTTGTCATTCACATCTGAAAGGGTCAGGTGGAACTCTGACACAGAGCTCAAGGAAGAACCCCCTAAAGAATTGAATGATTGAAACGTGGGATCAGTTCACTCATTTTCCTCTGAACAAGAAAGATTTCCTTTCTTTAACATTTAAGCAGTTAGCTACACTGAGATGCTACAAAAAAGACAAGCTTTTAGCATCAAAGACCTGGTTTTGTTACTGGAGGAAAAGACCAGCCATTGTAACAACAACTAAGGTCTACGTGCTAATATCTGACATACATTACTTCAGAATAATTCTGAAAACTGAGCTCAGAAGTTGTGTAACTGGCCCAAGGCAGAGAGTTTTTCAATCCAAGAGGTCTAACTCTAGCACTCACACCTTCACTTGCTCCTCACCAGGCCTTAAGCATGTTAGTCGAGTTTTCTAAGCTTACTTTCTTCAGCTGTGTGGCTTTGCGAGCATCCCCATATAAGTGAACGTTCTGGAAAAGTAAAAGGCTCCACAGACATTTACCGTATGATAGGAGTGAAAAACTTGGACTCTGCAGCATAACTGGTTGGTAGCTGCGTAATCGTGGGCAATTAATTTCTCAGTGCTTTGGTTTCCTCGTTCATAATATGTGGTCAGTAATAGCACCTGCCTTATAGTGATGTATGAGGAGTAAGTTGTTACACTAATTGCTCTGTATGGGGCTGTCAGTGCAGCGTAAACACTGACTGTCATCATGCTCTCCCCGACACCAATCACAGACATTGTTTCTACAACTTCTGACTCTGACCTTATTTGATTCCAGGAAACATTTTCTTGCTCCTGCTTCGTTTCCAGTAAACCCTGTTTGCTTGCTTTTCTTCTCCACATCTTTTAGGTCCATGGCTCCACTTAACCAAAGAGGAGGAGGCTGCTGTGTGCTTGAAGTTATTCTATCTATTTATATCATGTCAGTGTCAAAAACTAAAAACAGAACAGGGTTTTGGACCCTGGTTTTGATTTTTGAAACTTCCAGAATGTGAGAAACCCTTGGGACACATCCAGAGTGCGCTGCTGATCCCCAAGGTATGAGAAAGGGGTGCGCCTGGCATAAAGGCTCAGCCAGAACCTGCCTGCAGCTTCACTGGGAGCTTTTAAATCAAGAGTTAAATGTACACAATGTGATAGCAGAATGTGCTTAACTCCAGCAAGAGACAGAAACAGAGGGCCCGTCCACTCACAACACCCTTCCCAAGCTGGCACGCGGTTTTGCACTCTACTTTTTGGTTTGACTTGACTACAGTAACTTTGTTTTTCTTAGTCTTTCCACATGCAGGGACCATTTTTATGATTCCTGTGTCTGTTCTCCATTTTATTTCTCAACCCTGGGCCTCACATTCTGAAAGGTTTTTTTTGGGGGGGGGGGTCCGGGGGGTATCTAAAACTATATTTATTAAGAATTACTTTAATTATCTTTTCTGGTAAACCTGGCAGATACATTTACTAGCTAATTAGAGCCTGATCAGCACTGGATCAACAGATTTCCTACGTGTATGTTTGAAAATTCCATTAAAATGCAAAGAAACTCAATGTGTTAGTTGCCAGGCTTATTATTGAGTAAACATACTATTCTTACGAGTTTATTTTTATTTTAAAAATTATCTAGAACTCCACCTTTGGAGCCAGCAGGCAATATATATCACCACAACTGAAAAGGGATGCAAAGATTATACAAAAATGGCTCAAACATCCCGGGCTTTACTGTATAATACTCTTTCCTTTCAAAAGTTCACCTGATTTCATCAAAACACAGATTATCCTGGTTCACCCAAACCTAAGGAATCAGAATCTCCAGGGGTGGACTCCTAGTGTCCATATTCAACAAGCTCCCTGGGGGATTCTGACACATATCAAAGTGGAGAACATTTCATAAAATATTTTCTGCTTCCAAAAGGATGAGAGTTACAATTTAAGGCTGAAGGAGCAAGTGGTGGTCTAGGTCAACAGCTAAGTGGTTTGACTCCACTCAAAGCTCCTGGGAGAACCACAACCACATTGGAAGAAGGAAGGTAGTTCAGTCAGGGACATGGAACCTTCTGCAAGAGGCCATAGTTGCTACAGGAAACCACAGAGTGAGCAGCAGCCCTGCTAGGGCACAGGTGTTTATCACCTTTAGCAAAACCATGAAGGGGCCGGGCGTGGTGGCTTCCCCTGTAATCCCAGCACTTTGGGAGGCTGAGGAGAGTGGATCACCTGAGGTCAGGAGTTTGAGACCAGCCTGGCCAACATGATGAAACTGTCTCTACTAAAAATACAAAACTTAGCTGGGCATGGTGGCATGTGCCTGTAATCCTAGCTATTCAGAAAGGTGAGGCAGAAGTATTGCTTGAACCCAGGAGACGGAGGTTGCAATGAGTGGAGATCGTGCCACTGCACTCCAGCCTGGATGACACAGCAAGACACCATCTTAAAATAGAACAAAAACAAAAACAGGAAGGTGTGAGCACTCCCTTATACTTTTGTGCTCTTCTCATCTTTCCCCTTTAAGGTTGTGATATTCTGGTGCTTTGGCACTGTCAGTTTTCTAATCCTACCTCCCATTTCAACTCATGTATCTTCTGATAATATATGTTCCTTTTATTTGCTTACCTACTTCGGTGGCCACCACTTGTACTCGATACGGACTTCCAGCTTCTCTGTCCAATGGAGCCACACTAAAGATCTCACCAGTCACGGGGTCAATTTTAAGCCAACCTCTTTTGTCTCCTCTCAGTGAAAATCTTCATCAAATGAAGAGAGCAAAAGCAAGCCCACATTACTTTGCATGAAAAATGTGAAGATAGTTCATACATCAACTAAATATGTTTGTGCATCCTTTAAATATAAGTACAAATGATAATGCTCATAATGATAATCTCAGCATTATCAATTGCATATTATTTAAAACATATTTAAAAGGTCTGTTATATTATTAATGCTTCATTTGCATTTCATCTTCAAAAGGAGGAGCTGTTCGTCCTTACAATGCGGTGTTTGTGCTTGTGTTAGGAAGGGTATAGTTCACAACCTCTGGGGAAAGTAGTTAAACTTTTATGGCAATCAAAGAATTCAAATTAAAGTAACCCAGAACTATCTTTTAAAACCTCTTAGCAAACCACCCATCTAGAAAATATGAACACCCAGTGGTGGAAACATTGGGCGAGATGGGTAAATACTCATAGTCCCTGGTAATGCAGTGAATTCCTCATCCAACAAACATCTATTGAGAGCCGAGATCAGGCAATGGACCAAGGGCAGAGGTTACAAAAAGGGACACTTAGCCAAGTAGAAGAGATAGATGAACAGATAATTCCAATAACTTGTGGCAAATACAACAGAGGGGCCCTATGGAATCCAAGGGAAGTTTACAGGAATCAGCAAAGTCTTTCTGAAGGAGCAGAGCTTAAAGGCAAGAAGAAGACGCTTCAAACAGAAGGAAGAGTGTGAGCTAAAGTGCCAAGGGCCAAGGAGCAGCATGATGAGTGTGGGATCAGGCGTTTCAGCAGTGTTGGGGTATACATGGGAAGCAGAAGGTGGCAAAAGGTGAGCCAGATCATAAGCAGTGGGCAGGGCAGCCAGCCAATGATTTAAGCAGGAAGGTGACCTGGCCATGTTTGTGTTTTCACCAGAGCTCACTGGTAGGCATGTGGAAGATGAAGTTGAGAGAGACAAGACTAGAACCACAGAAAAACCAATGGTACAGTCCTTTAAAAAGCAACACATCATAGTTATAAGCTTGTCCATATCTTTAGACCAAATAATTCCACTCCTGGAAACGCTACCTAAAAAAACCCAATTTAATCAAAGTTTAAAAAGAATTACATGCATACATCTATTCAAAACATTTTTTATAATATACTGGAAGCAACTACATGTCCAAGAATAAGAGAGTGATTAAAAAATTATGTGTTAATTTCCCACAATGTATTTTTTTTAGTATATTCCATATGCCAAGCACGGTGTTAAGTTATATATATGGGTAATAAATATGAAACTCTTTATACTTGGAGTTTCATCCTGAAAGAGATGGGAATGCTTTGGAGGGTTTTGAAAGAGGAGTCAGATGATCTGATTTACTTTTTTAGAAGGTCACTGACTACAATTCAGTGAGTAGATTCAGGGGGGAGGGACGGGGGATGGCAGGGGCAAGGGCGAATCCAGAACAGACATGGTGGTGCCTTGGAGTAGGCTGGAAGCAAGGAGAAGCCTGTGGACTCTGAATATATTTCAATAAAATAATCTATAATATTTGCTGAAGGACTATATTCAGATCTGTTGGGTGCTAATAGATTTCACGTTTGTGGAGCTGGAGAAATAAATTACTCAGGCCAACACAGGAGTCATCTTTAATTCTTAACAGACTTATTACTCACGTCTGAGCTACTGATTATTCCTTACCCCTGAAATGCTTTCTTCATTTGTCTTCTGGAATTGTACCTTCCAGAACACCTCTTCTCAGTCTCCCATGCTCACCTCCTCTTCCTGACCTCAGTGGTACATGCATCCTTTCCTTTTTCCATCACAAGAATTTTCTTACATGCCTTTATTTTTCTCACTTATAAACTAAACTTTTTATTCATGTCTTTGGCTGATGATTTTTTTTTTTTTTTTTGAGACAGAGCCTCACTCTGTTGCCAGGCTGGAGTATAGTGGTGCAATCTTGGCTCACTGCAACCTCCAACTCCCTGGTTCAAGTAATTCTCCTGCCTCAACCGCCCAAGCAGCTGGGACTACAGGTATGTGCCACCACACCCAGCTAATTTTTGTATTTTTAGTAGAGATGGGGTTTCACCATGTTGGCCAAGATTGTCTTGATCACTTGATTTTATGATCCACCCACT